TTGTAGTAGAGAAAATCTAAAAGAAAGCTAAATTATTAGTTATTTTAGCTAAAAACATGAAATGACTAGCATGGTTGGTGTTGTTCTAAGGGAGTTCTCTAAATTTTAGTTAAATTTTAGTTAAAATGACTAGAAAGTTATATTAGCTAGCACTTTTTAGGTGATACACTCCAACCATACTCTCTATTTTAGTTAAGTATGTATTATTTTAATATTTATTGAGTTTAAAAATATAACTAACTTTATTGAATTTAAAAAGAACATTTGCATTTATTATAGTTCGAAATAATAAAATAATACAAAAAATTAAATAACTAGTTACTTCTTGCTAGCTATATTTAGTTAATGGTTGAAGTGGAAAAAAGTTAAATTCTAACTAAATTATTAGTCATTCTAGATAAATATATGAAATAGCTAGTATGGTTGGAGTTGCTCTTAGTAAGCATAATTTCAAACTACCATATAAAGATCGTACAAAGAATAAGATAAATTTTATAAGTTTCCCATAAACTATGTCACTTATGTTAGAGAGATTGTAATATATCTCTCAATTTCAATATCACAAAGTTGGCCAAAAACACATTCGGGAAGAACAGGAGTGCACAAGCGCGCGCTGCAGTACGCAGGAGCGTGCGCTGCAGCACGCAGGTGCGTGCGCTGCAGCCTGCGCAAAACAGACCTCTCGGGTCTGTTTTGCAAAGCAAGAGCGCTGCAGCGTGCGCTGCAGCGCATGGACGCGCTGCAGCGCGCACAAAACATACCTCTTGGGTCTGTTTTGCGTAGCCCGAGCGCTGCAGCGTGAATGTCATCCGCTGCAGTGCATGTTACTAACGAAAAACGTGTTTTCGTGTGTTTTAGTAATCTGAAAAGGTCTCGAACCATTGCATCTATTTGTGATATATTTTCTCACATATCTGAGTACTTATTAACAATAGAAATAACTATTAATATAAGTGCATCAGCATATAAAAGATAACCTTCAAATTTAAGAGGTATCTTTATGTGAAAGGTTGTAACACTTAAAGAGGATGGAAGCATCCATGTCTTTATTTGATGGACTTTAGAAAATACAGATTTATTATTATTCTGAAACTCAATATTTTTGCTGGATATTGTGTTCAAGGGTTTGTTTTATCTTGGGGGTAATTTGCCATTTTAGAACTCGTTAGCAAACTTTGAGAAGTGAGGGCAAATAAAACCTTAAAGGAAAGTATTCCTATACGCCTCAAACCCTCTCTCTGCTTTCTCTATTCTTTTCATCCTCCCAATTCCGAATTTATCCATCAATCTTTAAGGTTTTAATTTGCTGCAATGGAGGTTGAAAAGAACATGACGTCTTTCCTCAATCCTAATGTTCAACTTGATCGTTTTGATGGTACTAACTTCACCCGCTGGAAAGGAAAGTTGTTATTGCTTCTCACCATGCTTAAGATCGCCTACGTACTTGATCCAAAATCGGAGCCTCTTCTTGAACCAAAGGAGGATGATTCTGAAGAATTGAAGACCGTAAGGAAGAAGCGAGGAGATGATGAAATCATGTGCCGGGGTCATATTCTCAACACTTTCTCCGATAGACTCTACGATCTTTACAACTCGATGGAGTCTCTGGTGAAGATTTGGAACGCTCTCGAATACAAATACAAAACTGAGAAGGAAGGTACGGACAAATTTCTCATCTTGAAATTTCTAGAATTTGTCATGATTGATACCAAGTCCGTTCTAGATCAAATACATGAATTGTAAGTCATTATTACTAAGCTTCATGAATTGAAGGTTGAGATTTCTGAATCATTCCAAGTGGGGGCAATTATTGCTAAATTACCACAAAGTTGGAATGGTTATAGAAAGAAACTCCTTCATAGGAGAGATGACATAACTTTGGAGGAATTATAAAAACACTTGAGAATCGAAGAAGAGACCAAGTCTCGTGATTTCAAGAACAAAAATGTAGATTCCTCTAAAGTTAATGTTGCTGAAGCTAGTAAGTTTTCAAAGAACTTCAAAGTCAATAATGACAAGAAGTTCAAAAAGCTTGGTAATGGCCAAAAGAAATTTTCTGGAAATTGTTTCTTTTGTGGAAAGAAAGGCCATTGCCAAAATGACTGCAGATACAAGAAGAAAAAGGAAGAAGTTAACACCAACAATGCCAATGCCGTTGAAGAGAAATCCGAAGATATATGTGCTATGGTCTCAGAAATGCAAATTGACATGATTACCGAAACTAACATGGCTGCATCTAGATCCTCCGATTGGTGGCTTGATTCCGGTACCACAATCCATGTTTGTAATGACAAGACTATGTTCTTATCTTACAAAGTGGAAAAGGAAGGACAAATGATTCTCATGGGGAATAATGATGCAGCGATAGTTGCCGGGAGAGGAGTGGTGGAGATTAACTTTACTTCCGGAAAGAAGCTTACATTGAACAATGTACTTCATGTTCCTGATATTAGAAAAAATCTTGTATCCGCTAGTCTTATGTGTAAGAATGGGCTTAAGATTGTACTTAAGGGCAATAATTGTATTGTATCTAAGAATGAGATTTTTGTGGGAAATGGATATTCTTGTGATGGCATGTACAAATTAAGTGTTAATAATAAAGATGATGTGAATTCTCTTTATATTGTTGATTCTTTTGATGTTTGGCATGCACGTTTAGCACACTTAAATTTTAGATCTTTGAAATACATGTCTAAATATGGTTTGATTAATTGCAAAGATATTAAAAATGATAAGTGTGAAATTTGTATACAAGCAAAGATGACTAAGAAACCTTTTCCTAGAGCCGAACGTAATACTCAAATATTAGATATGATTCATACCGATATTTGTGAGTATAATGATATTTTGACTAGAGCAGGAAAGAGATACTTTATCACTTTTATCGATGCTTATTGTGCCTCCTAATGTATAATACTTCTTTAGATTTATCCCCTCAATGTTGAAACACGGTATGTTGGATGGAATTATGGAGTTGTCACTTTGTTTAAGTTTAGGTGCAACTTTTAGGGATTGTGAATGCCTTTCACTCTAAAAAAATTAAATAGGTGCAAAATCTTTTGTATATTATCTTCTTAAAGTAGTTGCATAAAAGTAAAAAGACAATATGGAAAAAAGTGGAGATCGGACCTGAACTCAATTGAGTTAATTAAGAGCTTTAAAAGTTAACACATTTGGCCTACTCACATGTAGCTCACGTGCTAATATGTCTAAAAATAGCGCGTCTTAAAATTGAAGGAGTGAATTTAAAGACATGTTAAACATTAGAGGGATAACAGCTATATTCAAAATTTTGGGGGTCATATTGATACAAATGACATAGTTCAAAGAGAATTCATAAATATATAATTATTAATAAGCATTATTTTGAACTCTCTCACATCAAAATCATCTCAATAAAAATTAAACGTTTATAATTAAAAAAATTAAAAAAAATTTAATGCTTTTTTATAACAAAAAAATTTTAAAAAAGAAACTTAACAATTTATAACGATTCTCATGAATTATCTCCTCTATAATTCTAAAACAAGTAGAATTAAATTTATGGAGTCCCTGAGCTTTTTTCTCTTTCTATAATTAGTCTATGTAGTCAATTTTTCTTAATTAATAAAATTTAATGCTTTTTTATAACAAAAAAATTTTAAAAAAGAAACTTATTTTGTTTAGTTGGTGGATTCATGTCATGATTCGAATTATGATTCGTTCGCTATAGTATTTTCTCTCATAAAAAACATACGTAACCAAGAATGGTTATGAATCCATGAACCAAACGTTTAACAATTTATAATAATTCGCATGAATTATTTTCCCTTTATAATTCTAAAAAAAGTAGAATTAAATTGATGGAGTCTCTGATAAATTGTTCCTCTATTAAATTTTGGATGGAAACCGTTAACTTTGTCTCATAAAAGGTCCTTAAACTATCATCACTCCACTAAATTTAATCCCTTAACTTAGAAAAATAACATATTATCTTTAAAATTATAAAATCAGAACTAAAAATATAAAAATAAAAAATAAAAAAATAAAAATTTCTAAAGAACAACAATACAGGTTGTCATCTTCTCCATTAAAAATATGAATCTAAAAAAATTTAATCTAAAAGTTCAACAACATAGAAATTTCTCAGTGCAAAAATACACAAAATATTGAAAGAGCAATAAAGGCAAGCCTAGATTGCACCAAGGGTCCAAACAATGAGCACCGATCGAACCGTCGTCAATGAAGCCGAAAAGTGTCATTCCAAGATGCGAAACCCTCTTGAGTTCGAATCCAAAAGCCTTGCTGGAGTCGAGGGAGGCTGGAGAGGGAAAAAAGAGTGGCGGCAATGAGTCAAGTGTGTGCGGCAAGGGTAGGGAAGGAAAGCAATGGAGGTAACGAGCAAATGGCAGGGGGAGGGGCTGGTGAGCACGGGGCTAGGAGAGGGTTGGCATATTTGAAAAAAAAATCTTAAGGGGGAGGGGATTTGAAAAATATAAGTTTTTTATTTTATTTTATTTTTTCTAGATTTTAGGAATATATATATATATATATATATATTGAGTTAGTGGATTTTGAAGCTTGAGAAGGATTTGCAATTTTAATTTTTATTATAGTTATTATTTCTCTTTAATATAGGCTATTATTTTTAAATAGAGAAAATAATTTAAAGACCTTTTATGACTATTTATAAGAAAAATTGACTACATTAACTAATTATAGAAAGAGAAAAAATTTCAGGGCTATCCATGAATTTAACTCAAAAAATAATAGCACGTGTAAAATTTACCTCTGCAAACACGAGTGTCTTCTCCGCGCGCAATTCTGTTAAACCTTTCCGAATCAACGAATTCCATTTCCATTCAGAAGCGTCCTAATTCAATTTTCCCTCCCATATTTCTCGCCAACCAAACACACAAAATCTTTAATCAATCTACGAGAATTTCGCTTTCTCCATTTGTTCACATCAACACTTCTAGACCAAAATCAAGCTCATAACCATTTCCCAAACATCCCCAACAATGGGGTCTGAAAACCCTAACCCCCACCCGATCCGACATATCGCCGTCTTCGCCTTTCCATTCGGCTCTCACGCCGGACCTCTCCTCAGCCTCGTTCGCAGCCTCTCCGTCGCCGTCGCTGTCGCCGGCGAAGTGAAGTTCTCGTTCTTGAGCACGTCGCGGTCGAACAAAACCCTGTTTTCGAGCGACGAAGGATTCGACAATGTGAGGCCGTACGACGTCGACGACGGCTGGCCCGAAGGCCACGCGCTGTCGGGGAACCCGGTTGAGCCGGTGGAAATGTTCCTGAGGGCGGCGCCGGGGAACTTCAGAAAGATTCTTGGAAAGGCGGAGCAAGAGAGGGGGATAAAGATCTGGTGTTTGGTCTCCGACGCATTCTTCTGGTTCGCCGGAGAAATCGCAGGCGAGAGAGGAGTGCCATGGCTGCCACTGTGGACGGCAGGGCCCAGATCACTCCTGCTTCATCTGGAGACCGATGAGATCCGACGGCATTTGGGAGAAGATCAAGGTATCTACTATATGCACGTACTTCTTGAAGGTTTTTTTCTTTTCTTTCTTTTTTTGGAATGAATGGAAAATTTGTTCAAGTTTAGCTCTAGAATATAATGATCTTGTAAAGATATATCATTACTCATATTTGATTCTAGGTGATAAAAATAAATATATAACAATTCTTTTGGTTTCGAAACAAATTGTCATTTTATCTCTACGTAAAATGTATAACGAATTTAATTTTTATCGTATAATAACTCCAAGAAATGCCATAGTACTGAAAAAGCAAAAAAGAAATATATTACTCCCAGCGAAAATAAAATACCTGATTTACCAAAAAAGAGAAATGCCTTGGTATATATTTATCTGGTTAAGATTGTGAACCTTGTGGTGTGTGGACCATGGATGGAATTCTAGTTCTAAAACGGCATGATGATTTTCCACCATCGACGGTCTTTTATTTTATGGTGCTAGAATAACATAAAAAGTTACTATATTAGTGATATTTCCCATATTTTATCTCAATTTGACCAAATTTGGTCATAATAAATTTTGATCTAAAAGTTGTAATCAGATCAGATTTGAGATAAAACTGAACAAATAATAGCCTACTATTTGTTTGCGTTCTTTTTTTTTTTTGAGTTCACATGTTTAATTTTATGGCTTGTTCTTTTTACGGGTCTGAGTCTAAAATTTGAATTAAAAAGTGAATTATGCGAGATGAAACACTAATAAAAAAAGTTAAATTTGAAATTTTATGAGAAAAAATATTATAGTAAAAAGTTTATGTTGTGATTTAAATTGTAGAAAGAATGGGGCTTACTTATGTCACATGCACAAGTATGCACATGACACATAATAGGTATATATTTCTAACTAGTCTTTAGAAACATGCATTATCAGAATGCACCCCTCCCTAGGTCCTTAGAATTTTTATGAGTTTCGTAACCTCAAAAAAAATCTAATGCTTCCTCATTGTACATTTCAATGCTTATCTTTGCAGGAGGATTATGCAATGACAAAACCCTAGATTTCCTTCCCGGATTTAAAGCCATTCGCATATCAGACCTAGAAGGAGTACTAATCACATCGCAAGACTCGGAATCATCACTCGTCGTTGACATGCTTCACAAAATGGGACTGAATCTTCCCAAAGCAACCGCTGTCCTCGTAAACTCCTTCCACAAAATCGACCCCGAAATCTCGAATCACCTCAAAACCAAACTCAAAAAGTTGCTCAACATCGGACCCTTTACCCTAACCATGAAATTATCTCCACAGCCAAAGCCATTCCTAGACGAAAACGGCTGCTTAGACTGGTTATCGGAACATGAAACCGCGTCAGTCGTTTACGTAAGCTTCGGAAGCGTGGTTACTCCGCCACCTCACGAGATTGCAGCCCTGGCCGAGGCGCTTGAGGAAGCCGGGATTCCTTTCCTGTGGTCGTTCAGAGGGAAACTGGAAGGATTTCGTGAAGAAAAACTATGCAATATTTCTTCTCTGAAAGGGAAGTTGGTTCCGTGGGCGCCCCAAGTGGAAGTACTAAAACATTCCTCCGTCGGAGCTTTCGTGACGCACTGTGGTTGGAACTCGGTGTTGGAGAGCGTTGTTGGTGGCGTGCCGCTGATTTGCCGGCCGTTTTTCGCGGATCAGAGACTGAATATGAGAACGGTGGAAGCTGTGTGGGGGGTAGGAGTTGAGGTTGACGGAGGGGTGATGACGAAAGAGGGAATTGTGGAGGCTTTGAGAAGGGTCTTCTTGGATAATGAAGGGAAGGAAATGAGGGAGAGAATTGCGGTACTAAAGAAGCTTGCTCATGAAGCTGTTGATGCTGGTGGTAGTTATAGTGAGGACTTCAATGATTTGGTGAAGATTGTCACCCAGAGTGTTGGTTCAAACGTAATTAATTTACGGTTGTAGGATTCATACATATATGTCTTTTGTGTTTCTTTCTTTTGTCTTTCTTTTAGTTGAACCATGACTTAAGCAAAATTGAAAATTGTGCATATCTTGAATTGAACTAGTGATGATACGCAATCTTTTTTTTTTCAGTGGTTTTACAATTGTTTTTTTATTTTTATTTTTTTTTCTTCAAAGTATTCATATTTGAATTTTCGCAACTATATTGCTTAAAATTAGCACTCTTACTCTCTCACCCTGATGTGGCTGGAATTTCTCCCCTCAATAGGCCGTGGGCAAGTTTGCGTTTTGTGGGGACCGGAGTTGGCTGAGCCGCCTCTTGGCGGTCTCTAGCCTCTCAGTCCTGTGTGGTTTTTGCTTTTCTTTTGGTTTTCTTGCATTGTTTTGCAAGTGGATGTTGCTCCTCCATGGGTAAGGTGAATCTTTGTATGCTACTGCCGGGAAGGTCGCAAACGTCATCGCGGTCCAGTTCGTACCATTAGAGGTGTGGGAAGTCTCTGATTTGGAGCCATGTAAGGGAAAGCGGCTAATGCTTTTAAATCATAGATCTAGGACGCGACCATTGTGAGACCCTGCTAAAATCACGGGAACTAGGTTGCAAGAGGGAGGCGAGGGAGCCTTTTCCCAAAGCCGTTCTTATCCGTCTTCGCATATTTCCGGCATTGAGGGGCTCGATCTTGTTGGGTTGATCTTTTGGAAACTTTATAGATGTTTTAATATTTTATTTTTTTATGGTTGTGTTGTAATAACGGTGATGGTTTCCCCATCTACCCATGTTTAGTCTCAGTTAGAGATTGGTCTCCCCACCACTCTATGTCTGTGGTGTGTTTCTAAGATAGAGAGTGGTTTGCCCGCCGTTCTAAGACTAAGTTGTGTGATTTGAGTCCATTGTTAGACTAGGATGTGACTCATCTTGAGTCGTTTCTATGTGGCCGAACCTTGTTCTAGTACAACTTTGTGGTGGAGTTCTCTCCGTCTTTGTACTAGTGTAAAATAAAGTTATTTGAGACTACTCATCTTGAGTCCATTGTTGCCTTGTATCTTATCACTTTAGTGGCTCTTTAATAAATATATTTCATTATCGTTCAAAAAAAAGAATTAGTAGTCTCAAATAACTTTATTTTACACTTTTCTATTGTAAAATATGTTGGGCAGTAGGACAATAATTTTATTTTAATAACGTGTAATTGTCGGGGACACACGTTATTAAACTTGTTAAAATACCTTTTATTAACTAGTCACGTGTGTTTAGAACAGTTAGAAAGTTGAATTCTAATATAATGAAAGTATCAAATTTGCAATCTCACAAATTCAGAGGAGAGTTTTGTATCATTTTGTAGAGCTGTGCATTGGATCGAAATCAATATATTTTTTTTTTATTTACTATCCACCATCCAATCTAATTATGCAGAAAAGACCTTTAAAATCCACCCAATCCAATCCAATTCACTAAAGTGCTGTCATCCAATCCAATATTCAATGTATTGGATTAGATCAATCATCCAATCTAATATATTCAATGTATTAGATTAGATCAGATGATTGGACTGGGCTCGTACTTTTATCAGTGCATCTTAATTTTGAAAGACCCACTCAAAATAATAAATGAGAAAAATCTAGCATATAGCATTTTTTTATTTGCAATTGAATTATATAGCATATAAATATATATATATATATATTAGTGTTAGTAAATAATAACATACTTTAAAAACTTTCATTCGTAAAAGAATAAATTTCATAGGGTTTTTGACAAAATTACGTTTCGAACTTATCGTGGTTAATCAAATTACTCCTAAACTTTTAATTTTGATAAATTATTCATAAACTTATAAATTTATTGTAATATGTCCTATTTAACTAAATTTGTTCAAAATTTTTATTAGATTTAAGGAATTAAAGTTGAGATATTAAAAGATTTGTATTACATTTGAATTAGAATGTTAAAATTTTTGGTTAAATGTGTTTTTTTGACACTAATTTACCACAATAGTTGTCAAAATGTAGCATATTATAATAAATTTACAAGTTGAGGGGGCGACTTGCTAAACTCAAAAATTTGGGAGGCAATTTGTGAAATCACGACAAGTTTAAGGGACAAATGTGCTAAAATTCCCTCTGAATTATAAGTCTTATCACAAATGCCCCCGATCTTCATTTTTAACATTTCTTCCTCCCAACTTCAGAATTCTTGCGAATTTTGCCTATCTGTTAAATTTTTGATAGAAAATTACACGTGGTGCTCATTTTGCAAGTTGCCCTTTGTATTATGTAAATGAGCTGAACCAAGGAATTTTGGTGCTTCATCACATAGACAGAATTCCATGTGTGAGCGGCAATCAATGACATCAAGGGAACCTTTGAAAGCTCAACTGGTCTGGTGTACCATCACCTATATACAAACCTCTCGAAATGGCAAAGCGATCTAGAAGTTTCAGCTGCCAAGGAAGATGGCGAATAGGATGAAGTCGATTATGATGGTGACGGACATCTCGTGATGGATTCTGAATGTTCTTTCGGCTTTATTTTTTCATTTAGATAAGTATAATTTTTGGATAGAGCTGTAAGTTTAGACTGTGCTAATTTCAGGGTCGGGCGGGCTTAAGTCTTAGGGCGGTCCAAACACATTTTTTTAAAACTTTTTTTCTTAAAAATACTTTGTAAATTTTAGACTGGCCCGAGACCTTTCAGGCTTTAGGTCGAGTCTGGCTAAATAGTCAGGATTAAGGAGGATTGGATAGTATTAAATTTTGATATTGTGTTTGGTGCATATTTTTAAAGGATTGGATTGAATAATTTTTTATCCATTATCAAACCCCCTTGAAAGGGGTGTTGCTATCCGCTACTAAAGCATGTGATAAGTTCTGATCAAAGCATATTGTGAAAAACACTAGGGGCTTATTGTAAATTTTTTTAAAATTTGGGGTCTAATTGTAAATTTTTAAAAGTTGAGGGGTTAAATTGTTATATGAGTAAAATATTTTTAAAAATTTATATTTTTGCCCCTAAAGTTTAAAAAATTAAAACTTGACCCTTAATTTTAAATTTTTTACAAAAATACCCTCATCCTAAAGACACAACACCAAACATGAGATTGGATTAAACTAAAATCTAATCCTATAATTTCCTCTACATTCTATTGAATTACGCTAAAACTATAATATCCTATTTTGTGCACCAAACGGAGCCAGCTTTTCCTTCATTTTGATTTTAATAGATACAGGATTTTGACATGAATTTCACACATTCTGTATTTGAGATAATTTTGTAGTTGGCCTTTAAATCTATTTTCGTTTCCGTAAATTTTGTAGTTGGTCTTTAATTTTCCTTTCCTTTTGTTTGACAATATGTAATATTTTAGATGAGTGCGCTTAAGGTAATTATTTTCAAATAGAAAAATAAATTACGAAAAACTCACTAAAAAAACCTAAATATTGTGCTGATTTGCTGTTTTTACTAAAATGCTCTAATTTCGTTAAAGATTTAACAAAAGGAAAAACTCGCAAGAGTTCTAAAAGTTGGGGAGATGGATGTTATAAATTGAAGTTCTAAGGATATTATGTGACGAGGCTTATAGTTCGGACAGAAAACGTAAAATTTGTCCTTCTAAAAAGTTAGTCTTTTCTAAATTTACCCATCCATGTAGTTTTTTTTTTCCCCTCAGGCCATATTGCCTCCTTTCCTCCCCCTGAACTCTCTCTCACACATCGCCGGCGGAACTCTGGCGGAACCAAATGCCGATCAGTGACTCTCGTCGCCACGCAATTCAGATTATGTTCAAAGATCTCTCTATCATAGGCGGCGACTCGACCTCCATTCTGTGACGGAGATCACTGTACAACGCCGTTGTCGCCGTCTCTGACCATCGTTCGTCAGCCGCTATTATGATGCTCGAGCCTTCAGGCAAGCAGCTTCCAAATTTCTGTATCAACGGCAACAGATTCTGCTTTATCAAACTCATTTGTAATGGCGATGCGAATTTATTATTGAACTCGTGTATTCACCCGTAAATTCTATATTTAAGATATATAATAGAATTACCAAATGCAAAACTGGATATAATAAGTATTTACATGTAAATATTATATTTATCAAATATAAGGTTGAAACTAATTATAGAAGATTAAAAATAATTTAATATTTACTTGTAAATATAGTATTCACTAGATACTAGACTATAAAATAATAAGTATTTTACGTGTAAATATAGTATTTACCCATTGAAACTAACTAAGTAATTATGTGCAATTATTGTACTTATTAGATTTAAGTTTGAAAATATTATGTATTTATCTATAAATATTGAATTTTCAAATAAATAAAAATTAACAAACGAGGTATATAAAGTATATAAGGTAAATACGGTATTCACCGTTGGCTATGGTATTTCTAGTTAAATACAATATTTACTGCCAGTAATTAATTTTTTTTCGTAAATATAGTATTATTGACGACTGAATTTCTGAGTATTTATAAATATAGTATTTACCAAACACTAGATTATAAAATAATTAAGTATTTACATGTAAATATAGTATTCACCAGATACAGTATTAATATAATATTTTCCTTAAATCCAAGATTTACAACTCACGATATGATTTTTGTGTAAATATAGTATTTACCGATAGTCAGATTTTTGAGTAAATACATTATTTTTGAATAAATATGGTATTTATTGATCGTCGGCGCTGGCGAGAGGATTTCTTAGTAAACATGGTATTTCCAAGTAAACACAATACCATACCGGTATGGCGGTTGGATTTGTGGTTAATACAGTATTTATGGGTAAAGAAACTATTTACCAGTAGTCGAGCTGGCGCGCGGTCAAATTTTTCATGTAAATATGATATTTACAAACCACCAGTGTCAATGTTGGTGACTGTATTTCTAGGTAGATACAATATTTACACATATTTACAAGTAAATTATAGTATTTACGTGTAAATACAATATTTACGTGTAAATAGTGCAGTGTAAATGGAGGAAATAGATCACTGGACATTAGTCATTGGCAGTCGCTCGTGCCAGTGGCCGGTTATGATGGACCTCACTAAATGGAGGAAATAGAGAGAGAGAGTTTGGAGAGAGAAAGAGTTCGAGGATATTTTTTAATTTTTTAATAGTGTTGGAAACTTAGCCTATTAAATACATATTATTTATTATTTTTTCTAAAAAATTATGCTATAATTTATTATATATGTAACAACCTAAAGAATTAAGCAAGTTTAATTATGTTAATTGAAATATATTAGTGTGCTTAATTTGATTTTCTTAATTAATCATAGTGATTAAGTATTCTCTTATCTTTGAGTTTTAAAATATTTTTAAGAACTTTAATTATTTTCAGTATTTACAATTCCACCTCGGAAGTATGTGAAAATACATACTTCCTTCCTTTCCTTTTAAATATCTTTTGATACTTATCCTTTCTTTTCTTTATATTTCTTTTCTTTTCTTCCTTTCTCTCATTTCCCTCTTGTCACTTTCTCTCTCTCTCAGTTCACTCTCCCTCTCTATCGTTTCACTCTCTCTCCCTCACTCGTCCTTCTCCCTCTCTCTTTCTCTCAAACTTGTCACTCTCTCTCTTTAAGGGAGTTTGGATTCAGATCTAAACTAAAGGAGATTTCCAACAAGTTTTCGTCTTGAAAGGAAAGATTAAGGTAATTCTTTGAGAAACTCATTCTTG